TCCTCATATCTCCTATGGTTTAGAAGTATGGGGTAGTACGTATCGCACATTTCTGGACCCTATATATAAACAACAAAAAAAGCTTGTTCGTATCATGCTATTTAAAGACTACTGTGCACATAGTAAACCTCTTTTTCAGTCACTACGTATTCTCAATATATATGACCAATTTAAGTATCAGCTATGTACATTTATACATGACCTACAATTTCACAGATTGCCACGTGACCTTAATTACTATTTCAATTTCCATACTCACCATTATCACACTAGGTCAAGGGATAATTCAAACTTTCTTCTACCAATGAAAAAGACAAATTTGGGTCAGTTTTCAGTCGATTACCAGGGAACTAAAATTTGGAACAGCTTACCCCTGGATATCCAATTGATTCGTATTCGAGCAAATTTTAAAAAAGAAGTGAAAGACTATTTAATCCACTGTAATCATTCATAGTTATATTCCAATATGTATATATAGATGCATACAAACATGTATCGGTGTGTAAGCAAACCATTGTAAATAAGTTTTTTCTGTCTACTTGATTGCCCTTTTTAATAAATAGCTATTTACAAATATATTTTGATGGGAAATAGACTAGACTAGCTCTGCATGAGCTAATTTCTGTTTCCCAGCCATAGATTAATATTATTATTATTTATCAATATTTATTAGTTATTATTTATTGCTGTATTGTTATTTTTTATGTAATCTATGGCAAATAAACATTATATTATTATTATTAATAGCAGATATGTTAACATTAACAGAGGATTTTTATTCAAAACAATAGTAATAAAGAGACTAAGATTTAGATCAAAAACAAGTTATAGGGCTCTTTTCCCTATGTTTACAATGACAAAATTCAGACAATTATTTTTTTTGCTTGTCACAGAGTCGCTGAGTTCAGTGAGGAAATACGGCCATTACGACCACCAAGGTTGATTCATGATGATGGCATCGTCAGACCATATGTTAAAAAAGAGGCTCAAGGCTATGGAATTTTTATTGAAACTGAAAAAGGCAAATTTGTTATCACAGACAAGTACTATGCCCATGCTGTGGTAACCAAAGATGGTCGATGCGTATTGCTGGTTACAAATAGGTAAGTTTTTATTTTATATTATTAATTTTTTACTCCCGTGTGCGAAGCACACAATGGGAGTCTTTGAAGTTACCCTGTTTATATGGGTGGGTGGGTGTGTGTGTGTGTCCGTTCCACTGACATCTCAAGAACCATATGTTGGCTTTTAATGAGCTAATGCGCAGATTCTATGGATTTGGTTGAAATCCATGCATATTAATTACCTATTTTGCATGATAATTAGCTAATTTTTACCTTTTCCACTGATATCTCAGGTACTAATCATCACATTTCAATGAAACTTACATAGATACATAGACGATGCACAGGCAGATATGTGAAATATTAATTACCTAGTTTGCATAATTAATCAATTTTCAGATTTTTGATATTTCAAGTACTATTACTTCATTACTTTTCAATGAAACGTGGTACATAGATGCTCTAGAACAAAGAGCATGATTAAATTTAAGTTTACAAAGACCTGATTAAATTTAAGTAAAAATGTGTGTATATTACGGTAATCAACTAATTTGCATAATTAGTTAATTTTTTACTTTTACACTGATATCGCTCGTACTAATTATCCCATTTCAATGAATCTTGGTACATAGATGTTCTAGGACAATGCACATACCTGATTAGTTTTGGGTTAAAATCTGTGCATATTAATTACCTAATTGGCATAATTAGCCAATTTTCAGCTTTTACACAGATATCACATGTACTAATTATTCCAGTTCAATGAAACTTGGTACATTGATGCTCCAGAACAATGCACAGACCCAATCAGTTTTGAGTTAAAATCAGATCATATTAATTACCTAATTTGCATAATAAATCATAATTTTTGGTTCTAATCACACTTCAATGAAACTTTGTACATAGATGGTCTGTGATAGTACTTATCTTAATTCAATGAATCTTGGTACATACATGTATGTGCTCTAACAGAATGTGATGATCAAATTAGTTTTAGGTTTATATACATCTATAATAATTACCTAATTTGCATAATAATTTACTTTTCCGTTTTCCACTAATTTAGTTAGGATTAATCATCATATTATAATGAAACTTTGTACATGTGCGCACTGAAACAATATACAGACCTAAATCTATGCATAATAATTGCTTAATTGTATAATAATTCATTTGGTTCATTGAGGTAATCCACAGACATGATTAGTTTAATGTTGATACATGTAAACATGCATATTGATTATCTATTATAATGTGAATCACAGTTTTTTTCACGTTATGCATGTCAAATAGCAAATCTTAAATTTTCGATTAATTTTAATGTGTCTCCAATACTCTCTGCACACGGGAGTTTTTCTAAGCTTTCTTATTATAAATAAAAAACTCATTGAATAATAGTAAATAATAAAGTTTGATGACCACTATTCTTTGTAAACAAAAGAATATTAAATTTGTGTAATGGCTCTGCCAATCATGCGTCTAATGCCCTCTTGAGATGGAGGAATGTAATTACTTTGTTTTAATTTTATTACTGTAAATTGCATTCATTTTTACTAAGATTTAATTTCTATTGTGATATTAAAAGCATATTCGAAAGGATTGAAATTTATGGACTTTCCAGCATACATGAAGCTTTGATTTCATTTCACTTAATACTGTAGAGATGAGGGTATTCACTGGATTTAATTTTTGCTGCTCTGAGATAGAAACAATACATCCCACTGTTTGTTAACTTAGTATATTTACTAGGATTTAATCTAGCTGATTTAGCTGTCAAGGAAATGAGAGAAAATAAAATGCAGTTAATAAATGCACCATATACTGTAAAGTGGTTAATTATTCACTGGGTTTAAATTTTGTATATTACGCTGACTGGAAAATGCGCTAAGTTAAAACCCAGTGAATATGTGAAATTTAGCATGGAACACATTATCTAAATGATAAAAAGGTGAATTTAAAACCCACTGAAATTGCCTGAAATGGTAAATCAGCAAAATTTAAACCCAGTGAAAATTAGTCATTTTACAGTACATGTACATGAAAAGTATCAATGACAACAGCAAAATTAAAATCCAGTGCATACTTGATGTGTTTACAGTAATGACCCATTAATATCACTCACATCTAATTTTTAATCACTGCCAAGCTACGGGGTCTTTGTTACTTGTTTTAATTTATCATAGTGAAAAATATATACTCCAATTCCATTTAACAATTTTTCTGATTCCTTTTTAGGAGACTACTGTTTGTAAGTAAGGGTGATCTACTCGGCCATTGGAACTGTGAGTGGCAACATACATATGCTATGTTAAAAGAACCCCCAGTGCTGACTGAGAAAGGAATCACCATTTTACTGAAGGTAAGTAACCAATCTATGAATCAATCAGGCTTATTTTAAAATTCAATTAAACCGTAAATTGGACTGATGTTAGCATCTCTAACAAATCTCACAAATTTTGTTGCAAGGCTGAGGCAATGTTTATTGAGGAAACCAAACGAAGGGGGCGTCGTAATGTGAGTATGATACGCTGTAATAAGTGAATGCTGGGTTACTCTGGGCAGCATGTGGATCTACCGGTATGCAGAGACATGACTATACCTCATATACCTCACTCTTTCCTCATTCCTTCGTCTTTTCTTGCAGATCATAAATCTGTTGTGTTCAACCTAATTTTAACCATTTTTTGTTGGAAATTGATTCTTAATGTTGTTTGTCACATTGTTACACCCATGAGGAGAAAATTATGATCATTATATCTGTTGTATAAGCTTATTGGATTAACTGTGCCTACTGGTATAAACAGTATTCATGCATTTTCTTTTGTGTAAATATGCAAAGTGTTCCTGTCAGATTATGCAATTTTTCAGACAAAATCGATGATAATATTAATAAATACGTTTGTTATATATTCAAATACTACAAAACTACACTTAACACATTGACAGCCTCTGTTCATTTCGTTAAATATTTATTTGTTTAACTTAGATATTATTCACGCATTTCATAACTAGTTATTTCTTTCTTTGGGTTGATAAGGTCTGTTTAGATTGTAATTTTTGCATCATCAGAAATACCATTTTGGTATTGCCCATTGATTCTAAGTTTTGAATCAGTTGAATATACAATTTTTGTCAGATTTATTTATCTTTGTGTAAAATATCTTTCATACACAAATACATGTATGATATTTTCTCACTAGAATAGAAGGTTATATTTGTAGCTTCATGTAGATCAAGAACCCTCTGTACATACAATGTTGTTGTACTTAGTACCTTTGCCAGGGATTATGTTAAATGCCTTTTATATTAACTTTATATTGTTTGGAAGCAGACTTCACCTTTTACCCAGTATGCTGATTTCAAATAAGAAAGATGGTAGTAGACACATATATAAAATAAAGTATAACATGAAAAATGTCACTCTTGATGATTGGTTTTGAGACCATGTATGATAATATGAGGTTGACAGAAGAATACTGCAAAGTATGCACTTTGGCAGTGTATAGATGTAGTCGCGTATCATATTAACTGCATAGTATACTTGTATTGCACATTTTCCATAATTACATTCACAATCAACTGCATTGCCATATACTGTAAACTGTTAATTTGATGATCGCAAGACACATTTTCGTGAAAGTCACTGACACGCATTATACATGTAAGTCAACAGAGAAATTTTCATTGCTACAAAATGTTGTGATTTTCACTGACTCTTGAGATTCGCAAACATTTGTCTTATGTAAATTGAATCATAATAAAACCATAATCAAGACAACGTAAATTCCATAACATAAAAAATGTGCTATGTTGTTACAGGATGATGGCCAGAAGAAAAAGAGAGGTTTCGGGAGTTTCTTTGGAGGTGCAGCCTCAACTGGCAAGATTGTTACAATAAGTGATAGCAAGACTGCACAGGTAGAATTGTTTTGAAAAATTTGTTTTAAATGTACTGTTATCCTTTTAAATGTTAGTCACTTGGGGCCAAGGTTTGACTTAATGTATTTGCTGTTTTTATCTATCAACTAAAAACGAATCACCTAAAGTTACAAATGCTAGTAGTATATTTGCTTGGTTTGAATATTTAATTGCATGAAAAAATAATTAACGAATTAACGAAACATTTTAATTAAAATTAGTTTTTAAAATCGATTTTGCAGCATTTGCATGAAAATGGTAATTTTTATAGTATAACCTCTGCCCCCAGTTGCACTATAATATTTGGGAAATCTTGTGTTCATCATTTCCTCCGTCATCTTTCTCCGGGATCCTGCTCATATTCCTCACCATTCTTGCGTTCTCCTTTTTCTCTCCTCTATACATTTTTTCATCTGTTTTGTAACCTATCTGAACTCTTTAAAAGCCTGAAACCCCAAAAAAGAAGAAAAAGAAGAGAGGTTTTGCCTCTCTGTTCAGTCGGGGATCTCGCAACAAAGTTCACATTCTTCTTGAGGACAGGAAAGAAGCCCAGGTAACTCTGTTAAAAATATTGCCCGAGAATCACCTGAGTGTTTTCCTTTTGTCCTAACCTTGAAGCTATTAATTCCCTGCTTTGTAGATAGATCCTGAGCAATACTGTCATCATCTATTTTGATTTTAGATTTTAGATGGCTGAGAAGTGGAAGCCGTGTGGGCAGGATCACTAAGTCTAATCCACTAAGAGTAGCAGTTCAGCAGCATTTAAGTTTCTCCAAAAGTTGACAGTGTTGCTCTTTTCCTTAGATATTTAGTCGCTGTAACCCTGCTCTTCTATTGGCTTGCCCAAAGCTTGTAATACTAATAATAGAGAACAGTCATTGTAGAAAAACTAAAAGTCTGTTGTTTCCTCAATAATACTGTACATATTCACTACAATTGAATTGTGATGAGAGTTGTCAGAGAGACCCAGGCTACTATGTTTCACATTCCTCATCTGCATTCATTCCATTTCTTTCCTTCTCTCCTCTTCTATTGATGTGTAATAATTTATATTGAACACATGTAACACTTTTGTTATTCAACATTACCGGTAATATACATGCTGAGTTGTGAGTTATCATAAAGAAATTAACTTTTTTGTGGTGCACAGAATGATATTCATCCAAGAAATACCAAATTTCACAAATGTGTCAGCACTTGAATAGGCCTGTATATGAACCCCAGAAAGTCACACATCCTGGTACTTGTCGGGGGTACAAATTCACTATCGATGGGAATTTCTTGAATATTTATCCCCGAAATACAAGCAGTTGTCATTGAAGTTCAAAAACAGATCGATGTATGATATTGGTAATTATTGCTGTAAAAGGCAGAAATATACCTCCACAAATACTAGTATGTGTGACATGGATATATGCCTCTTAACATGTAATGCATACCAGTGATTGAACATGCATGTCCACATACATACAATGTAGTTCTGGCTGTAGAGAATAACAGAGCACAGTGGATAGATAGACAGGAAGTGTTGCTGAGTTGCACTGATTCAACCCCTGTCGCAAACATTGTTTCTTCATCTGATTGTTGTTTGCTTTTCCTGCCATTTTTATTGTGTGTGATCAAAAAATCACTTTTACTTTGTGATAATAATTAAAACTGGGGTTATATATCAACATGCAAGATCTATGAAAAACAATGAATATCTAATTTATGTAAATACCGGTAGTTTATTTTTTGGATTGACAAACTGAGTAAATATCTTTGTATATGCATCACTGGTGTACATCTATGTACTAGTAGGACCACATTTAAATTAATGAAAGACACAAAACAAATTCTGGTAATTATCTAATACAATATTATGTGAATAGCTGCTAATCAAGAAAATCTAGTTTTCCTTTATTTGTATCTTGAATAAAATAAAACCAAATATACACCCATTGATAGTTTTCTGGTAAAACCTTCATACAGTAGTTTTACAGGTATTTGAACACAGGACATATGTCCTATCAGAAAGCTTATCTTAAATATATAAAACATGGGCGAAACAAACATCTAGTGCAAACTTGTAGATAGCCAATAAATGCACTGTTATTACTATACATTCAACAAAAACATGCAAATCTTTACCCTGTTGAGTGCATGCCAGATATTTTTCCCCACACATAATTTGGTGCAAATATTTTCCCATTTCATAAAATTGTCACTGAATTCCATCATCATTTTCGACACTACAGACAGTTTCAGATATTGCTTTTAGTTTTTAATCAAAGAGGTTTGTCAATTTATGTTAACATTTTATGCATGGAAGAGCAAACTTTGGTAACTCGTTTTGTTGATGGTTCCAAAAGTTTACGATGATGCTTCAAAGGGTTAAAGAGATATTTACAGTGCTAGGATAATACAAACAACATAGTGTCTATTATTCACATATTATAAGCCCTTTATTCGATTAGCTGATATCAACAATGAGTGCTAATATAATTTGTTTTCTTTTCAGTGGCTTATTGGAAAGATACATGAGGCAATGGCAAAAAGTGGTGTGTAATGATAACCTGAATGTTGATGTCTCTTTTTTCTACACAACCAAATCATGACGTCAAAAGATCGATGTCGGATAAAAAACTTAATTCCTTTAGTTTTTTTTTCCAAACCCCCCTATCCCCCACTGAAACTTAATTGATAAGTATTGGTCATGGCGTCAGACTACATTCACCATTAAATACAAATTGATAATCGAACAGTAGTTGGTTGTCGGGTGGGTGTAAAAAGATTTTACAAATGCACCTCATTTTGACGCACAGATTTACACTCGAATCAAACCATTTTTCTGTGTTTTTTTTCCCTTTTCGGTTATATCTGTCTATGACTGAATAGAAAAAAAAAAACGAACTACAAATACTCCAAGATTTTTTTAACTTCATTAAAAAAATAAAATCGTTTTTGTAGGATGGAAACTTTTTGAGGTCAAAACCCCCCACCCCCAAACTAAAGGAAATAAGTTTTTTATCCGACATCAATCTTTTGACGTCGTCCCTAAGGCAACTCTGGTCATGCTGAAAGTTGAATTCAGAGCTTTACCACCTTAACGGATGGGGCACATTGCATGTAATGATCCTTAGCTCATCTGGTAGATCTAAACAAGTTATAAACACAGAACAGAATGTAATATTGGTAATAATATAATGTTTATATTTGTCACTGTACATTTCTCATGTTTTTTTTAGCTCATCTGCTATACTTTAGTTATTTTTAACACCTTATATGGTGTCTTGAGCACAATGTAATTCATTATCCAATAACCTTCAAGTTTTAAATCATGTGATTAAGTAATTATTTATTTGTTCTTACGTTTTTTACTTTTACTTGACTACATTTTTAGTTTCACATACAGATAATTGAAACAGTATTTACAGTGCATAGATTACCTTATTTGCGAAAGCTGCCCAAACGACCAATGGTACATGTGTGTAAACTGATATGTACATAATAGAATGAGCATTTAAATGCAGTCAATTCTATGTGTCACGGTACAGTTAATAAAGTAATTTAATAGTTAATAGTAATTGAATTTCAGGGCGAACAATGTCTGATTCACACTACACAATAATTACTTAAATGATGTCAATGCTGTTATATAAAATTAAATTTGTAAGACTGGAACAATGCAGGTAATGCTTTGTTATGCCATAAGATTGTGGACTTCTACTGATAAAATAACATTCATACCAAGGCTTTAGTGTAAACTGATACAGTAGAAATCGTGTAAGTAATCTAGAATATGATTGGTTTTCAAAACATATTCCTTGACTTTAGGCACACTCTTGTCCCTCCACTGTGGGATTCTTTCAAGAGTAAGTTATAAAAGGCCAAGGTCAAGCCTTCCGTGGATACAGGATAAATACAATTTTTTTTTCTCAACCTTTTTCAAGTGTGGTTTTTGTTTTTTGATTTCCATATATTATAGAATGTAAGTCCTAAAAAAGAAGTTTATACAGAACTGACATATTATAACATGATTTGTTTTAAGCAAAAGACTTTCGATTTGAAATGTGTACAGTTTTGCACAGGATTTGTTTTCCATACTGTCATATTAAGCACCGCCATTGAGAATATGGAGCTGTGGTTGTAGACAAATTAGAGGGGAAATGTGTAGGGTCATGCTTGCACTATATAGATCACTAACTGTGTCATTTATGACAAGCCCCTGGATCAAGAGTATTTGTTCTTGTTTGTGCCAAGTTTTTATTTCTATGCACGTTTTAATTAAGATCTTGCCAGTAACTAGTAATGTAATTTTAGTCTATGATGGTGTACTGCTCACGAGTTATTTACATTGGAAATTTTTAAAGTGTTTCACAGTGCTTCATTTATTTTCCTCATAAAAAACTGGTATCTCTCTTACAGTATTCGACTGAGATATCACTGCTTTTGAGTATGGTTTGTGCTGGTTTCTACTTATGTAGACCTGTTACATTTATTAAGTTGAATGCATAGTAATAAAGCAATGAATAAACTAACAATAACAGTTGTGTGATGATTTGTCTTTTTCACTAAGTTTTACCGATTTAATTGGTCTGAACAAAAACGCTAATATATTACAGGATCGTGAAACTCGGGTATAGGGAGCAGGGGGATTTTCCCGCGACCTCTGTTAGTGTGGAACATTCTATTCTACGACTGTTACTTTTTTTCTAGTAGTTTATGTAGCACGTTTTTGTTGTATTAATTGTTCACAATTTACTAGGTCAGATTCTTCAGTCCACAAACTACATTCTTGTTTGATAACTCTTCAAGAAAATACAATCAAATTCACACAGACAAGTTTATGTTCTACTTCTCATAATGCGTTGCTTGATATGTTCTCGTCCGTCAAAAAAACGTAATTATTTTTTTTCCACCTGAAATAAATCTCCAAAATTCGTTACATCAAATAAAATACCACAATTGTCTGTTTCTGCGTAGTGTTTCTGTGACGTTTGGCTGTACCCTACCAGTCAGTCCCGATCCATATGGTAAAACATTACTGTTGATCTGGATAATCGAATATAGGTGTTTGGTCATACGGCGTCAGGTAATCCGCTGATGGATGATTCTCCATTGGTACTGACTGCAATAACTTTTCTAAATCGCGGACAATTGTGTGAAAATTTGGTCTTTCATTTGGGTCATCTTCCCAGCACTTCTGCATTAATCTATATCTAAAAAAATGTAACAGTGGATTTCATTATGCACTATATGGTACACTGTTGAGTTGGATATGCGATCTCCCTAGCACATTCAGAAATATGTCCGCCAGCAAGACGTTATATGTAGGGATATTGAATTCAAACATTTTGGTTCGTATACAGCCAAAAGCTATCTCTGTACTGTATTTCGATGTTCTAAAGAATATTGTAGCGGAATGAAATCAAATAACTTACAGTTCATCCGGGGCATACATGGGTTTCTGAAGCCTGTTTCCTTTATTCAGATAATTCAGTATGTCCCAACTCTGAACAGCACCGTATGGTGTTTCTCCACGCGTCAACAACTCCCATAATAGTATTCCAAATGCCCACTGTGAAACAACATACATGCACAGTTTATAACTTTCAAAAGATTCACAATTGAGTTGCTCTTACGTGAATATTTTCGAAAGTTCTCGGTAAATATTCACGGGATAAATACGATAATGCATTCTATTTCAATTTGAAATAACATTGTTACATTAAACAGGTATTTCGATTTCTTTATTTTCGATATAATTCACTGGGTTAGGTTACACCAACACAATATATAGATTTAGATCCATGGACTATGTCTTACCACATCACTCTTGCTTGTGTAGATTTTCTTTCGGAAACTTTCAGGAGCCATCCACCTAACTGGTAGCTGGACACTTTTGTCCAAGGATGAATAATAATCACTTTCATAGAGGTCTCTGGACAATCCAAAGTCTGAAACCTTCACGACTTCCTTTTCATCCACCCTAGGAGAAGTATTATTTGAATTTAGGTACAAATCACAGAGAAACGTCATGTGAATTGCTCAAATGAAAACTGAATTTGCATTTTTTCAATCCCCAAATAAAAAAAAAAGTGTAAAATTCCCAGAATATTGGCTATTTTGTTATGAAGTGGCAATAGCTGTTGTAAAATCCCAACAGTTTTTATTTAAATATAATCACAAAAAGATCGACCAAATCGTACCTAAAAATTGTTTTACGCACAATTGCATGGGGAAAATGGCATAAAATACGATGTGAAAAGTATAGTCGAGTAGTCGCCATTTCGTTTGAATCGTCAAGGTGATGGAAACCATAGAAAAATATGACGCATAATGACCATTATTATGAGAAGTGACACGTATAACCTCAGTGAGACACAATCAGAGCAGGACTTAGATTCTCCAGATGGCTACATGACATTTCGCATGACGTAATCAACGATGACGACCTCTTTTTTTCACTTGCAAGTGATTCAATGTACTACGTCGGTATATAGCGTAAATTCTATGCATGACGTAATCCACGACGACGACCTCTTTTTTTCACTTGCAAGTGATTCAATGTACTACGTCGGTATATAGCGTAAATTCTATGCTTACAGTGTTCACATTTCGGCGATTGTCGTTACAAATTTGCACTAATGACAAGGAAATGTTTTTTTTTTCAAATATTAATCAGAGAAAAAAAAAGATCGATAATTACAGCTATTGCTGCTTTAAACAATTTAGGAACACAGTGCAAGCTCTTTTTCCTGGTCATGGTCAGTCTGTAAGTGTATCTATATATCAACATTGTTTTCCACACGTGTCGAAATCACTTGTCCCCACTTTGTCTGGAGTGCTCGTACTAACACTCAATAACCATTGACATACATAAACCTCGTGACTGACTCAGTCTGTCCTCCGGGGAGAATATTCCATTATTTGATCAATTTCAGTTGCAGGTTACAGTTTTGCACAAGGTCACACGAAATAATTAGTATTCTGCTCTGCTCTAAAACTAAAAAAAAAATCCTTGCCATATTAAGTACCAATCACAAAACGTTTTATTAAAGTTGTTAACAATATTAGTTCCTTTATCACAAAGTAAGCGACAATATTAATTGACGTTCACTGTATGTAAAACTCCCAGGTGTCAATATGATAACAAATGATTATTAATAATTATCATACTGTAATGTTACATAACGGAACCATTACATTTACTAATATGTCGTGACAACCATGATACATACATGCAATTCCTGGCTGCCAAATCTCGGTGGACACATTTTCTGTCACTGAGATAAGCCATTCCTCTTGCTACGTGCAGGGCATACGTGGCAAGGTTCTTCACAGAAAACACCTGAAATATAGTTTACATTAGTGTGGAATAAGATACGCATTCGATCTAAGACGGAAATGGCTAAAGAGAATTTGTTGAAAGTCCCTTCCAAGTGTGTTCCATGCTCTCTGCTATGCGTCCACAGTTGCAATGAGCTAATGTAATCACCATGGCGAGAAGAAATAGAACACCATTTGAAGACGAAAACCAGTCTCGCAGTTCTCTCTTGCTAAAATTGTGCATAGTAATGTGACCAATACGTGTTACACCGCCCACACAAATCAGAATGTAAGGCTTACTTTATTTGGGTTGTCAATGTATGCCTTGAGATCCCCATTCTTCATAAAAGGTAATACAATTAACGGTGCACCGTCTTTCTCGACACAAACACCAATGAGCGACAGAACATTTGGATGGTCGAAGTCCTTCATCAGTAAACCTTCTTCAATGAATCGCCGTACATCATTGAGATCCATGTCATCTTGTAAGGCAATAAGATACAAGTCAGTTGCACAGGAAATACAGAATTTGATTGGATGACAATATTGAGTATTCATTGTACGCAATAACAGTCTAAAACTCATCAACGAAAACATTACAATGTCAACAGCTGCGGGCCATGTATACCATGTAGCAAGGATATATGAAGTTACGTGTCAGATCCTACCATAAGTAAGGTGATCACTCGCCGAATTAAACAGCGTCAAAATGAGGAAATTAAAAATATGCTGTTTATATCTGTCTCTGGGAATCATGTCTGGTCATTCATGATTGGACAAGGTGACACACGTTTCTCTTAATATACAATTATTAACTTATAAAGTATAATTCGAACTTACTTTTCAAAATTTTTACGGCAACATCTCTTGAATTACGATAGTCCATGTTTTTCGTCTTTAGTGTACCTCTAATAACCATCCCTTTGTGGCCTATTAAGTGAAAATATCACATACTGCATTAATTGGGTGGTAACGAAACTAATTACAAGATTGTACCTGATTGGCTACCTAACCCCGACACCCAACTGTCAGACCAATCAGAGAGCATGAATGTAACTCACAAATACATTTACAAATTATATTTTGATGATAATACTAGAAGTTCTAACTCATCGAATATTTAATTCGTGTTATGTTATGTCTGAAGTTTGAAATCACCTTTTCCGTAAACGTCGTTATAGTGTAATTTCAGTTTCGAACTGTCGATCTTTACACTGTTTACTTTATTCCTCATATCGCTGGTGAGATATGCAAACGGGTCTTTTTTCCAATCGTCGCCAATAACTGAAAATTGAACATACTTGTTAGAGGTAGAGTGCAAATATGACGCAAACACTAGAGGGAGGCACATACGGTCCTCGCTATTTTCCGCAGTGTGGTGTGATCCCTTCACAACACCTATGTGATGCTAAAGAATAATTCTATATAAAACAAGACCATCATCTGTACTGCTGCGAATTTTTAACAGATAAAAAAAATTGTTCCAAAATAGAACTTTTTCTACAAACTACATGACATAGTATGTCTCTGTAAGGCAGTAAGTCATAGAAGACCAAATACGTCAGCTAGACAGCGGAAATACGATACAAAAATACGGCAATATAAACTTTAACCTACGCCCATTTTTCAGTAAATATTTTACTGAATTGTAAATCAAATTTAAACAGATCAGGTAATACTAATACAGATTTTTGACCTGTTATCTCATAAATTATGACTCATTGGAACACATTTCATTTTATATATTACGACTCGCATTTATATAGTTAATATAATCATTAATTGCATTTAAATATAAATACTGTAACATAATTTTACGAATGACAATATAGAAATGTATGCGTTAATTACAGTCAATCAACAACTCACGTGATTGGTAAGTATGATCAAGTTCGTATTTTTCTAGTTTAGCTTTCTCTGCTTTCTTCTCTTCATACCGGTCCCGATAAGTGCAAACGATGCAAATAATGATGGAACTAATAACCAAGATAACCAGCAATGTCACAACAAATGCCAGTAAGATGACAGTTATGCTGATGGTATCATCGTCCTTATACCGAAGATACCCGATGAAGTAAGAATTGGTATCGTATACGCCGACTCGAACCTGTAAGGTAAAGTTGAAAACATTCGTAATGTGTCAAAGAGATACAGCGTTATAACCCGGGATTCCTTTCTTCACTGGTACTGTTATTTCTCTACTATTTTTGTTGTATTACTAGTATATTTGATAAATGATTTAAAGGGAGAGATACATCCACAAGTTTAGCATGAGTATGACACAATTAATTACCTATATCATACAATGGAAAACGATCCGTGTCTTTAAAGTGGGACGTAATTTGCTGAGGTTCACCTACCATAACATGTGGGTGTCCATGGCTTGCTTCATACTCACTTCTCGTCGGAGGTTTTCTTGCCGGGGGTATGCATGTTAATTGGTCGTAATACAGTGATACTAGTTTACAGAAACCGGTTCCAACTTGAACTTCAATGTCGCTCTCCTGTGCACCACAATTTAATCGCTCTCCCTGTAATGTCAAGAACACTAAATCAGAGAGCTCTATGTCTACTGAGGTACACATTGATTTTCGAAGACCTCATTGAGGTTATTGCAGATTCGTATACACTCAGAGTTAGGAAAACGACCTTTTATATTTAATTTTTGCTTCAATCATTTCTGGTTGCCAGAAAACCAGCATATATGCTTTCTTAAGAGTAACACATTCAACATTTGCAAAAAAGCTGGCTGCTTACTTACTTACTTCGCTGATATAATGCAACACAACATACCATTGGCAAAATAAACGTTCGCCAAAACACGAAATCATTTCTGTGATCGACCTACCTCTATCACAAGGTATAGTGAAACATCCCCATCATGGACACGGATGTCATTACCATCATCGCCGAATTTGTAGTATACAGGGTTCTCATACACCCGCATTTGCGTGAACTCTGCATCTAAATATTGGTGGATATTCTCCGGTAACCACTCCGTAACTCCGTCAAGGATTAATCCAACCAGGAATTCAATGGATTCACCTGACTGCGGGTCGGAGAGTACTTGGTGGCAGTCATTACTTCTTCGCTTTCTGGTATTCTGGTCATCCGTAATTAACACGTTTGACGTTAGTCGTGGTGAAGGACATGATAGGTGGGTTTTGTTCAAATCTTCACACAGCTGAAGAGAAATGAACAATTTTATCAATAAAAAAAAGTTAATTCAGTTCGATAATTATTTATTTATTGATTGATTGATTGATTGATTGATTTATTTATTTATTTATTTATTTATTTATTTATTTATTTATTTATTTATTTATTTATTTATTTATTTATTTATTTATTTATTTATTTATTTATTTATTTATTTATTTATTTATTACCAGCATTAACAAATATCTGTTCAGTAAGAAAATATAAGAACTATAAATTATAATGTTATGTCCGATTCAGAAAAGTAGATGGGAAATAATTAAACACCTGATTCGAAATCAATTTATGGATGAGGTGCTTTAATGTTTGTTACTCGAATCTGTTTCAAACAGTTGATCGAGTACAAGTGGCAAGTAGAATTTGTTATAATATGACACCGATTGCATAGACGGGCTACCACAACGGGCTGTAGTGTAACTATTTATATACAAAATGAATAAAATAAAAAATAAACGATCCTTACTGTAATGTAGTCACTGACTGTAGTGTTGGTAACCATGGATACAACAAACTTGGGTGCTAAAATTGTATTGAAGCTCGTCCCTCGCACAAGCTGTTTTTCACCTCCGCTGTATACAAAATGTAAGATATCAAATTTAGTTGCCTTTCGTAAATTGTTTATTGGTTGGCAAATGGCCACCGACATCTCGATGAGAGAGAGTTTCGTCACTTGTTTTTGGCCCCCCGCCATCGCGTCTACTGTTCCAATTACCTTGGTTTCTACGGCCATGGGAACAGTAGATATGATCATGGCAATAGAGAATGGCACCCTTTCACTAGCTGATTTTTACTTCCGCTGTAAGAGATCGAATTTAGTTATCTTTCTGAAAATGATTACTAAACCCTCAACTCCATGGTTAAAGAGGGAGGGTCGTCACCTGCGCACGCGCGGGAATTGGGTACCAAGCGATGATAATAACACACGCTAAAACGCAAAGACTCGTGAGTAGACGCTTGTTTGTAAACATTGACACGCTATGGCCATCTGACGCATGCGCAGGTGACCACTCACCACACTTTAATGATTGAATTCTTTTGAACTGAAACGTGCTGTGCAGAAACAAATCATTTATTTTATAACACATGCAGCCTCTACGTCAAATAACTCATTTAGTTGTAAGTATACGAGTCGCAAAAAAGAACAGATATTTATGTAGTGTAGGTGATTAGGAGGTATGGAAGGTGGTAATTAGTGCAAGTCGCGCCTAGGCTAAACCTCATACCAGAAGAGCACATTGGATTGGTGAAAAATTATTGTTTATCAAAACAAATATCGCACATGCGCAGCGCGACCGACGAGCACCACCCGTTAATAAACGAGAGTACAGCTTTCTGCTACTCACTGTATACAATCTCAGATAACTGGTATGAGTATGAAACACATGAATAAGTATACCGAAAGGAACTGTATATCAGTCAGACCAGCGTCTTGAGTATCGGCAGCACGAAGTGGACATTCTAGGGCAAGAATATATTTGTCCATGTTTTGAAACGTTCCCTAAGTTTATAGGGATATTCGGTGTTTTACCAGATCAAAAATCGCGTAATGTGATGTAATGTTTTGAGTAACCGATAATTAATGAATATACAGGAGATACGTGCGAAGCTTACCCAATGAACATCTTCAAAGGTACAATCGACTCTATAGTAGGGTCTACGTCGTACACAAACACTCGCGTACTTCGTCTCGCGAACGTGGTGCCACTGTACTTTATATTGATGACGTCACTGTAAATATTCTGGACAGCAGACGTAGTGCAACCAATCATCGTGGAGTATAGCCTACAATGACATATATATGAACACATTCATATTCACTGTATCTACGTGTGCCAAATATCACTACAAACCACATGGTACAAACTAATTAAATAAAAAATATACCGTAGGTGTGCTTGTACCAAAAAAAACACACTCGAGAACATGATAATATAAAGAGTTAAAAGTAAAGCCAAAAATACGCTCGCTTTAAACTTTGTACATATAAGCATCACATTCAATACTAAAATTTAGTTAATTCATTAGCTATATACCTATGAATCTGAAATGTTACTCACAGTTCAAGTTCACATATGGCGTCTCCAATACTGACTGTCACGTTACCGAGTATATCAAGATACTGTCCCTTTATAAGGATATTTGTTCCTCCAGATTGTGGTCCTATCGTTGGCTGGAAGGTATCAATGTGCGGGTCCTGTCAATAGAATGAAATACTTCCCTTATATAACGTACATCGCATCTTGTGTCGATTTATTATGAATTGTGGTCACGTGACATCAATGTGGGAACGCGCGACATCTGTTATTGTATGCATCGCATCTGAGCAATGGTACTTGGAATGACGTAAGTATAGTATCTGGTATATACTGTAATTAAATACTAAGTGCACGTATTTTATCTCAACCTGGACCACGTTGAGTCGAATTGCATTGAGGGTCACTGAGTGACACTGAGCTAGCTTTTCCATAATCATAATTGCAACTGCCACTTCAACAGACTAGGCGAAATTTATACTTACTACATATGCAAATGTGTTTATTGACAGCAGATGTAATGTTGTTTGGTCCACCACAATGGCGATGTCTAAGATACCTTCAGCGGACTGGGAGGGTCCTGTTGAACACTGCAAGGTGAACCTGTGTAAATATCGGTATAAGTCACATTGTCAAAAAATAGACGGTGTACAATCGCTATTATAATTGTACGTGGTATGGTTAACATTAGGTGCAACGCAATGCGTAGATGGGTGTGACTATTGTCGTTCAAAGAAACTACTGTGTATGGTTGTGCACGGTCGTTCTTCATTTAGAATAAAGTACAATACTTAAAACGGTATTGTATATTATTTGACAGAAAACAACAGATCAAACTAATAACGACGCTGCGGGCGTCCTTCGCACACATTCACGTCGCAGAAGCACTTCGTCGCTAGAGGGCGCAACCTATTGCAAGGATACATTAAAGCATACACTAAAATGCGTCTCCTACTATACTGAATATTGATATAATGTTCTTACCTGTTTCCATTGGTGTTGTCCACAAATTCAGCTCCTGTGCAGGGAGCACTGATTATTCGAATTTCAAGCCCATTGGCGTCAAAGGTAACATTATTAGCAGTCTCTAATGTAATAAGAATTCCTGTTCCTCCGTCTGTAATGCCTATGTCTGGTTCAAACTGAAAATATGTGTTATGACTGAATGGTCAATAATAGGAATATATTCGTGGATCGTTCATCCATGAATTTAACAAATAAATACTAGCACAATGTATTATTCAGTTTTTTGTATCAGCAGGCAGAATTGCCTGTGACAACCCCTAGCCGGGGAATGGCTTCAACCACCAACGACACGATAGAAATTTCAAGTATTGATTACGCCTTTAAATGTAAACCTATCAATCAGATGGCCATTATCTACGCTTCCCCATGCTTTGCACCAATCAAGACGTTTTAATTGACAGTCGCTTTTGTTTATCAAAAGTCAACTACATTACTAATTAGTGGTAATTATTCGCGTGCCTGACCTGATATGATATCGACACAGCTTTCCCAAATATCATCGTAATGACAAATGAAATTCAAGTAATCTAAAAGTTTTTCTAAAAATAAAATAATATCCCGAATTTACACGCAGTTGTTACTTTTCCAGTCTCGCAATGGATGAAAATAAAATCAATATTTCGACCTGAAAATTGCTTGTTGCTTGTCAGCATACGTTAGAGCGTAAGAACCTGATAGACGTATTTCCATACATTTCACTTAAAAATATAATGTACTGTCGATTAGTATTCATACAATTGACTTCCCTGAGAATTGACAACTTTTGAAAAACCTTCAATGAATATAATCGGTACCATAATTATTACCACTGTTAACGAAAATTCAACCAAAAGCCGACATTCGGTCATTAATCGTTTACGGCGTGTTAATTACCATATAATGTAATATAAGTAACTTTTACCCGAATGGAATACATTCCTATGTATGTCAGCACCAAGCACATGTTCTCATCATTTCCGAACCAATAGTTGTTAATTTCACACGTTTCCTTTGGTACACATCTAAAATATAATAATTACGCTAATATATTCGTAATACAAAATGTTTACTCAAAAGTAAATGTAGTATATCTTATTCGAGTAAATAACATATAAATATGAACACTTAATATAGTGTATAGTAGTTAACTTTTTAAGTTAATGTCGGCAATAATTGTATTAGACACACTGAGAATGAAACGATATAGTTGCTTTGCAGGTTTGTCTTGTGTTCACCGTGACCATTCACAAGTCCAATTCACCAGCGAAATTTCCTGTTTTTAAGGATGATGCTCTAGAATAATGTGGTTTCAATACGAAAATAAAAAAAATAAAAAACTCATCTAGAAAGTTTACAGAATGCCTGGTCTTGGAACTGCTCTTCGAACACTTGATTGTGTGAAATAACATTTTATATGTTCCAATTAGAGGAATTTTCAATTCACTGCGAGATATCGCGTATTGCGAGAAAGGCGCAGACTGCCGAAAAAATCGAAAGGTTTGAATTTGAATTACACAGTGAAAAGTGACTAACGGTCTAGTAGTCGCCATCTTTGAAATCGGTCACGTGATGTACAGTAGAAAATTGTAGCACACGACGCATAGTATTATGGGAAATGACACATAAAATCATCAGTCAGAGAGAGCCTTAGCTTCTCAAGATGGCGACGTATTTGGCACGATTACGCCCAGGGTCTCCGATAAGTTGTTTATCGTGAACCGCAATCTTCGAGGTTCTGTTGAGAAAACTGTATTTTAATAGATGGCGACCTCTGGAGACCTGGACGTAACCCAACGGCCATTTTTTTTTTACTTTCCAGTGATTTAATATACAGCGTCGGTATATGCTGTGCTTTCAGTGTCCACATTTTCCGATGGCCGTTACAAATTGATATTAATGACACAGGAAATGTTTATAAAAATTAAAAATAGAATGTGAGATTGATGAAACTTCACAATTCTAACCTTGCATCAGCAGCACACCAAACACAGTCTGAATTACCAATACATGATGAACAATCTGGGTACGCAAGGCAGTCGCCTAATACGGTGTTTCTGGTAATTGTAGTAAGCGGGCGCGTTGTGGACTTGGTGGTGGCTAAGGTCGTGACTGGTGCCGATCGCGGATTTGTGGCTAACCTTGTTGTGGCCACTGTGGTTTTCAGACGCGTGGTGGCAATATTTTGGTCCAACGGGACAGTCGTGCGCTGACGAGCTGTAGTTAATTTCAGTGTTTCTGTAAAGCAAGACGTGTTATTCATTGTTTTATTCCACATACTGCAATAAGTACTGTGCATTGCCGATCCTGGTAAGTATCGTGTAAACACGTATTTTTTTTGTAAACATGTCTTACCTATTGTGGCTGTTGACAAGTCTTTCTCGGATGACC